CACACACACACACACACACACACACACACACACACACACATCTTGGAATGATGGAGGCAAAGGACACACTGTGCAGATGGTCACAGGCAGCTCAAATCTTTATCCAATCAGGGCCTCTTTCCCATACCCATCCCCCTTTCCTAGACCAGGTTTTCCTGTTGAAGGTCTGAGAAAAGGGAGCAAAGCAAGGGAAGGCCCAGCTCTCTAACTCCTCTGCCAGACCGTGGCCTGGTGGCCAGATAGGGCCCAGCACCATGAGAGAGCCATTCCTGCGGCAGATGGCAAGGCCCTGTCTGTCCACCGGGTGCAAGGCGTGGCTCCCGCTGCTCCCACACCTGCCCTGTCAGGCCTGCCCAGATGGTCACCCTTGTACTCCTGCCAATAGCAGCAGTAGGTCTCAGGGTGGGCCAGCAGCCAGAGCCCTGCATGGGAAGAAGGCTAATGGTCCTGAGCCCCCCTGGGCCTCTCAGGATCCCATCTAAGTCCCAATTCTCTCTTGCTCCACACTCACTGAGCTCATTTCTCCTCAATCTCTCTGGCTCATCACAGAAGCATTTCCACCCATTTTATCAAACCTCATGACCCAGCCCCTCTCAGAGGGTTCTGACCCACCCAGCATCAGTCAATGGGCTCCAGGAGAAGAGAAATTGACCAACCCAAGGCACATTCTGGTCTCCATTTCCCATCTCACCTCAGCAAGTGACCCAAAAGCAACAAGCCAAGAGGACCTGAAGGGCTAAGAGGAGGGGAAACAGAATAGGGAGAAAGCAGCCACACAGAACAGAAACACCAGTTCAGTCTGGCCTCAGGAGCCAGGGTCAGGCCATCTCACTATCCAGGGGCAGCAACTGTGTGAGCTCTGCAGGCATGTGCTGACACCTGGCTTTAGGGGAAGGGGCTCAGGTATCTGGTCTGGGCTCTTCCTAAGGGGAAACTCTGGGGTCCCCAAACTCTGCTCCTAAAGCTGCTCTCTCTGAATGGTGGGAGGCCCCAGGTCAGGGCCCACGGAGAGAGCATCCTTGCCCCTGGGCCAGCGTGGATGGCATCCTGGAGCCTTCTCTTCCGTAAAGAAACCACAGATGTGTGGCTCCTGGGAGATCCTGCTGGAATTCATTCCTGTCCCTGCAGCTAACAAAGAACCCAGACACTTCCGGGCCCCCAACATCTGAACAGTCCCCAGATCACAGAACTAACGCAGGGGAGGCATGGATGCCTTTATTGATAAGAATCTGTGGGTCTCTGAATGTTTGTGTGGCTACAGCCCCTTCCTTGGGAGGTCTCTGTGGGGAAATGCACAAGGGGCATATCTGAGGTTGGGTCACCCTGGCAATGGACAGTCACCATTCAGGATGTATTTATGCACCCCTCTTTATGTCAAGCATTGGGTCAATCACTCCGGAGACACAGACATGAGGAGGACATGGGGCTTGTCCTGAAGGAGCCCACGGCTTGGTGGGCAGCCTGTTAAGCCATTCCAAGACACTGAGGGCCAGAGACCTCAGGCCCACGTGCCAATGAGCCGTGGTCAGGGGGGGAGGAGACTAACAGGTCAATAGTAAGAACAAGGCCTAATGCTCCCCCTGCCTCACTGCCACCACCACCATCACATCACCCAGCAGGAGGGGACAGTTAGGAAGGAGAGGAGGCTAAGGATGTGTGAAGAAAGCCCACAACCTCCTTCTGCAGGAGAAAGCACAACTTCCTTCCTGGCCCAGCATGGGCAGCCATGCCCTATGGCGGGAATTAGGGAAAAAATAATTCACATTCCTGAGGCTTCTGCTCTGACCCTGACACATCTCTCTGATACAGGAAATCAGGCAGAATGGCGCTCTCTCGGCTGAAAGCCTCAACCCTGGAGCCAGTGGCTTCACACTGCAACTTTGCTCTCCACAATCCAATAAAATTGTGTTCTCTACTGAGGAGAGGGGAGTAATCCCTAGAGGTGAGTGAGGAAGGACAACAGAGCCAGAGTGGCCCAGAGTCATTGTCATAGAATTTAGGGCTAGTGAACCTGAGGATGGCTTTCAGCTGTTAAGGAGGGATAAGGCCAAACTGGGGTTGGGCAGGGGGTGGCTTCTCCAACAGGGCCCTCTGAGGCACAGCGGTTGTTCTCCAGAACACTGAATGCCTGGCTCTCCTCTTTACCCCATGCCTGCAGATCCACAAAAGGCTCTCGCCTCCCTCAGAATGGACCCCAGGAGGGAGAGGTCAAGAGGAGAGAAGTGGGCTCAGCTGCTTAGCTCCTTCTGGGCAACAGGTTCTGAGCACTGACAGTCCCCACACCTGGGGGGACAAGGGAAGGAGTGCACGAGTGGTCCTGCCTGGACCTCAGCGGTCAGCATCCTTGGCGCAGCGCTGCCGGTTTTGGCTTCCTAAGAACAACAGCCCACCCAGCTCCAGTACCACTGGGTGACACAAGACCAGCTCTTGCTGTATCCACAAGGAGAAACCCCAGCCTTCACCTCTTTCCTGGGGCTTCAGCACCTGCAGAGATGCTTGGGTTCCAGAGGAGGAGGAGGATGAGTGGAGCTTTGTATAGGCTCTGCCCTGGAGGGGGGAGGGTCAGAGATCAAAGAGTGAGCTGCTGCTCCCAGAGGGCAGAAAGGCCATAAAGAGGCGGGGAGGGGAGCTCAAATCCCGTTAGAAAAAGGCTGGCTGATTAGGCTCCGAAGGGCTGCGATGAGGAGAGCAGAACCCAGGAGGGGTAGGGTCACCAAGTCCTGGGGCGACAATAGGAGATAGAGGCAGAGTTTGGGGCGCACGTCCCAGGTTAGTAGGTCTAGAATCTTAACAAAGGTGGATGAAGGCTCCGAGCCCCGGCGTCAGGGACTAAGATCGTGTCCGCCAGTTATGACACCGAGGGGCCCGGCCCCGGCCAGGCCACCTTTGTCCCTCTCGAAAGCCCTAGACCTCCAACCACCTCTCCTCCTGGACACCCCCACCCGGCGCGGCACTCACCCTGTCGCTGCTGGCGGGGGGTCCAGAGATCCGCTCCTCGGGCGGGGGCGCTGGGGGGCCAGGAGTCTCTACCCGAATAAGGCGGTGGGGAGGCGAGCCGTGGCGCGGGGGCGGCGTGGGGCCGGGAACCGCCGGGGTGGCTAGGGCAGCGGAGCCGGACGGCACCCCGGAGTAGGGGTCTTCGAAGTCGCGCTCCCTCTGCAGCCGGTAGGCGGCCAGGATATCCGGGGGTGGCGCGGGGGGTGCGGCCGGAGAGGGTACCGGGGGACGGTAGTCCGGCTCGGGGGGCGCCGGCTTGCTCCCACCTCCGCCGCCGCCCCCCCCACGGAAGCCAAGGTGCTCCCGGAGCCACTTGGCCACTCCGCCACTGCCGCCCCCTCCTGGGCCAGCTCCTGCACCCCCGGCGCTCCGGCGCGATCCCCCCGGGCCGCTCCCCGCGCTCCCCTGCGCCCGGGGCCCCGGGCCGGAGCCAGCCGGAGGAGCTCCGCTCAGTAACATGGGGCCGGCCAGACTGAGCAAGGGGAGCGCTGTGGTCCGGCGGGGGGCGGGGG